TTAATGGATCATATGGTTACGATGCAATGAATACACAAAATTACGCAAAGACTAAAATAATGAATGCACAGAAGGCACGCGTTGCATGTATGTCAAATAAGTTTAAAAACATAAGAGAAATAGGTGAAGATACGTATCAAGTGATGCTTAAAGATAGATTTTATAGATGTGATACATGTTTACAAGAGGCATTCTTCACTTTAGATAACGCAAAATACTGGTATTTGGTTTTCATTTATGATTTTATGTATAAATGCATGAATGTTAATCGTTTTCATTTCATTGAAGGTGATACTGATTCATCTTATTGGGCAATCGCTGGCGACCCAAATCTTCCTAACACTCAAGCATTTCAAGCAATTGTTACTGATAAACAATTTTATGATAAAAACATTTACAAATTCGCACCATTTGATTTCTTCTGTTTTGATGAGAAATTTAAACCTAAATTAAAGAATAAAGCTGAAGAAAAAGCACATGAGAAGAAGTTATTGGGTTTAGCAATTGAGAAACAAGGCGATAACATGGTTGCTTTATGTCCTAAGTGTTATACATCATTCAACGGTTCAATTGATGGAAGTGATTTTAAAAAGATTGCACAAAAAATGAAAGGAGTTAGTTTACGACAAAATAAACAATTAACACCTAAAAATTATTTGGATATAATAAATGATAAAGTGATATTTGATGGTCAGAATATTAATTTACAACTTAAAAATGGGTCAATGACTCGCTTAACAATTGGTAAGACTGCATTAACAGGAGCACACACTAAGGCTGTGTGTTGTGAAAATGGATGTTGTATGCCATTTATTTAATAAAATGCCACAGAAGAGACAAAAGGAACCGTTAATGATGTTTTTGATACTATGATTCAAAGAGGTGGGCACCCTTAAAACATTTATTTTATTTTTATATAAATGGATAACTCAGATTTAGAAAATTTAATTGATGATTTAGTACTTAATCAAAAATTTCTTAGTTATTATGAATTAAAATCATATCTCCAAAAATATAATAATAATATAACGGGTGATCATATGGAATATTATTATCCATATTATAAAAATGAAATTTTGAAATATCATAATAAAATAATTTCTGAAATTAAAGACAAAATTAAAAATAATGAATATTCAAAGGGAAAAACTAAATCACAACTTAAACAATTGAAAGATTTTAAAAATAAAGTATTAACAGAAGAAGATATTGATGAATTATATAAATTATATAATCCTGAGCCGCAAAAGCAAAAGGAGCAAAAACAAAAGGTGCAAAACGCCCAGGTCCTTCAGACCATAAATGAAGCACAAGCTTTAATTTATGATTCATTAGTTAAACCATATTCAGCCCGACTTTTAAATGAAGATCAACTTTTGGAATTCATCCTTCAACATAAACTCGAAGCGGGAAAGTATATTAAACCTTTATATACAGCATATTTAAAAAAATGAATAGAATACATCCAGAATTAATGAAGGAAGGAATGAATTCCAAAACTTCATCATCCAAAATCAAAGCAGATAAAATTAAACCACTTGCAACACCAAAACCTCTAACGACAGTACCTGCAACACCAAAACCGCCTCCTCCTTCAGTTAATCCTTCATCATTCACTTTATTATATCCATTTCAAACATTAAAGAAACAAAAAGATTTTAAAAAGGATTTCAAGATATTAAATAAACCAATTGACCCAAAAATTCAACCGTTAAAGGAAAAATTTAGTCGCCCTTCATTTGCACCATATCCATATTCATATGAAATCGATCATTTAGAATATTCAAAAGGAAACGTTACTTATTTATTTGCCATTAACATTAACACCAGATATTTATATTGCATTCCAGTGAAAGGGAAAACAGAACAGGAAACAAGAAGAGCTATTCAATACTTACTAGATCATGAAAGAGTAGATAATATCAGGGGTGATGGTGATAAAGGATTTCAGGCAGCTATGACTCATTATTTCCCACAAATTAATTTTTACTTTTCATCCTCTCCATATACGTTTCATAATAAAATAGTTGATGCGGTAATGAGAACTCTTAGAGATGCGTTAGGGGTTAACGGTCAGATATACTGGGATGGAAATCATGACTCCATCATACAGCAGTTAGTATATTATTACAATAATACATGGCATAGAACAATAAACATGAAACCGGTGGAAATGAAAAATGATATTTCAAAAGAATGGGAATATATTAGAAAGCAAATGGAAAGGTTGAATGATGTTAAACGTGAACAAATTAATTGGGCTCATGAATTTTAAACAAGGGGATAAAGTTTTAATTCATCTCGATTATGGAAAAACTGATAAATCAATGACAAAAAGAAGACGAAGATTTGACACAATAGCTGAATTTGTTAGATATATTAACGGCAATGCATTAGTTGAAGTTAACAATAAATTAATAGAAATTCCGATTTATTTTATTACTCCATTATATTTAAATAATATTTAATTTTTTTTATTTCGTAAGAAATGAGTGACAACGAAGCATCCAAGAGTCCAGACGATGAATATAAAAAGAAACTAAACAGAATTAAATCAAAAATATGCTATTACAAAAAGAAGTCGCAATGCGGTGGGGTTGAAAACGAGGAAAGAAATAATCGAAAAATTAGAAACTTACCGTTCAATCCTTAAACTGAGTGAAGCAAAAATAAAAGAATTTAATAGAATAAATAAATTGATTGGAAGAGATGAATTTAATAAAGATGAATTTTTAAACTCTATCCAAATTTAATTTTTATTCCTCTTCGACAACATCTCTCTTTCCATCATTACTGCATAACCACATTTTCTCAGTTTTAGTGGTTTGTTATTTTTAACATGTTCTTGCATCATTTTTATCATTTCCTCCCTTGTTATGATTCGTGGTAAATTTTGAGCTTGTGGGGTATTCATTTATGATAAAAATAAAAATTTAAATTATGCCGTTCTAAAGTTTTGACAACATGACATTTTGACAACAACACAGGAGAAGTATTTATGACTTATTTTTGAAGAACTGAAGGTGTCACTACGTCACTCAGTGTCACTCGGTTATTTAACTTCTCTGAAAAAATGAGACAACATGACATTTTGAACATAGTGGGTTATTCGATAATTAATTATTTTTGAAGAACTGAAGGTGTCACTACGTCACTCAGTGTCACTCGGTTATTTAACTTCTCTGAAAAAATGAGACAACATGACATTTTGACAACATCACAGGATTAATGCAAAAATAAATTCAAATCATACTTTATAAAGCTTCATTTACGGGTATTTCATCGTCAGTAAATGATTCCTCATTATCGTTTGGTTCAACCTGTTTATATAATCCTTTCATTTCTTCTTTCAAAACATAATACCATGTCTGTTTACCATCTATTCTTCTCTGTTTCTTATCACATTTATCCTTAATACTCATTTGAAAGTTTTTGTCTTTCATGTCTGATGGTTTGCAGAATAGAGCATTTTTACATGTCATACCTGCACACAATTCATCATAATGTGTATTTATCCATACATCTAAAGGATTTGTTGATAATTCAATTAAATCTTGTTTGGCTTCAGTCATCGGTATGATTCGTACATTAAATGATGAAAGGTCATATTGCATAAAATACGTCAGTAAATTATCATAAAATTCTTTAGTGCATGAATCCATTAAATTCTTGAAGTAATCAAATTGACCCTTAAATTTACCATTAACCTTAAAACTACGTATCTTCTGTCTCCAACTTCAATTTTGACAGGGTAGACGTTATTAGTTACGAAAATGAAGTTTGCAACGTTCTGTGCTGTTCTTCTGGGTTGATTCTTTTCATTAATTCTAATCTCATTATCCGTTATAATTGATTTCAAAGCGTTGAAGTTTGCGAGTCTATCTTCACCTACATTCTTGAGTTCATTAAGTACAAGAAACATTTTATTCTCAACTACTGAATTTGAAATTACCCGTAGCTCACCTATTTCGGTAATGTTTTTACATGAATAACCAGCGAGAAGTTCAGAAATAATATCTGTGAATCTGTTTTTACCTGTTCCCTGAAGTCCTTTCAAAATTGCTGTTTCATTCTTGATTCCAGGATGTTGAATCATTGATGCAATCCAGCCGAGAAGGTATTTATACACTTCATCGTTATTATCACAAATGGCTTCTTAATGAAATTCATAAACATTCTCAATTTTTGAGTAATCAGGCTTTTCAAGAATGTTGTATTTATAACCTTGAAACGTTGAGAAAACATCTGGAGAATCAGATTTAAAGCAAACACCCTTAACGGTTAATGAAGACAATGATTTAGTAGTACATCCCATGCTGTTATGGTTTTACCTTCTTCTTTAAATAATTTTAATCATTTGAGTGACTCTTTCATGTTTGATTGAAGAACAAATGATATTTGATTCATTTTGTCGTGTATGTTGTAATCTTTTTGAATGAATATTTATTTCCACAATCTACAAAAACGGATTACACGTGATAAATCCTCAATTACTTCAGAACTGTTTTTATACTGATGATTTTCAGCCTTGCGTCTAATATCTGTTATCAAAAAACGAGTCATCAAGTTTGATATCAAATGTTATTTTTGGCTTTACGTAATAAAGGCAAAACATATTCATCATAATATTCCTTTTGATATAGTTTTAGAATCTTCACCAAAACAAATGGAGAAGTCATTAAATATGCATATCTACTACGTGCTTTTTTCAAAACTTTTTGCATTTTCAGTTAAGCTGCAGAAGTTATAAACGTTATCGTATGCTTCATTAATTAAATGATTAGGTAACGAATTAATTGCTTAAACAGTGTGAATAATGTAACTTCTTTTTCTAAATTCATATTTCCACCGTCATTATGTACTTCAAAATCACTAATACCATCAACTATGCCTGGGCAAGTTTATCGTCAATGTTTACATTTTTGTTTTCATTCATGATAGTCTTTATTTCTTCGTTCTTCTGTTCAACTCTTACCTTAATATTCAAATCATTTAATATATCATTCACTGTTCTGGTTATGGTCGAGTCGTAACTTCCACGAATGAATGTATGTATTGATTGGTTCTGTTGCATTCTTGCGAACTCTTGAATCAGCCATAACTACTAATGAACGCTTTGAATCATCCATAGAAGTCATTATATCAATATCGTAATCATTGCAGGAATAGCATTTAATCATTCTGTTCGAAACTGAATAGAAGAAATTAGTGTTACAATAAATGTGAAGACCTCCTGAAGCGGTTTTAACGATAACATCTTTATCCAAAAGTTTTGATAAAATGTCTTTTCTAACTGTTTCTTTAAGTTCATCATTGTATGATTTATTGATATCAACATCTATAATCGTTAAATTTGATATTTTATTTACTAATAAAGCCACACCAGTTTTCCTTCCTCTTCCTCCATCGTGTTTGAGGTAGTTATGTAAATCAATCTTGTTTTTCACCAATTCGTTGAGGGTTTTAGTTTCTGCCACAACTAATTCCTCAGCTAATGAATCAATAACTTTTTCATCAGAAACGATAAAGTTGCTGTTGTTGTTTGTTGTTGTCATTTATATAGGAATAAAAAAATAAAAATAATTTTAAAACTAACTTTATTTTTGGGCTGCATCAAATTTCCAAGACTGTTGTCAAAATGTCATGTTGTCTCATTTTTTCAGAGAAGTTAATTAACCGAGTGACACTGAGTGACGTAGTGACACCTTCAGTTCTTCAAAAATAATTAATTATTGAATAACTGGGGAAATGAATTTACGTCAAATGTGCAATTTATAAAATCTTATGTCGACGAGCGTTCATTGAACTCTATACCATGCGAATACAGTCATAAATGGTGGCATGTAATCTTTACCCAAGCCTGTTGGATTTGTTGTGAAAGTATGGACATGATTTCCTCCTGGTTCAGTTGTCGAAAAGTCTTTTTTGCCGAATGTTATAATCTGGAGATAAAACGTCATTGCCAGCATAATATTCTGAGTTGTATAATGGTGGTCTCTTAATGAGTGGCTATGGTCGCCAGAAAAGTTTGTAGTTCCTGTATGAGTGTGCGGTGGAAGGTTTGCTTCTTTAATTTTCTTCGAACCACCTGTTTGCTTCGAAGAGTTCGCACAATAGAGGAATTTATCTACAATCTGTTCCCACGTACCAAAACCCAGAACTGTTGCGGGATTTGTTGAATTCATTGACGTATAAATAGAACCAATGGGGTAAATCATCTCAAGAATTGTATTTAATCCATTATGAATATTGAATTTATTATATAATATTGAAACTGGGTGAGTATTTAAAACTGGTCTTGTTATCAATATTAACGTATTATTTTTGAAAATTGCTTTTCTAACATCTTGAAATTTTGTGATTTCAGACCAATTTCTTCCATCATTACTGTTATTTACTAAATCACCACATCCTAAAGCAATGAAATACCCATCAATATAAAATAAATTAGTAAATCTATAATTTCGAGTAAGTTTTGGAGTGAATGAATAAACCAATTCCCAATTTGATAAATCTTGTGATAAATAAATATGTCTGTTATAACTTACAGGATATGAATAGACCATACCACCTGAAACAGAACATAAACATTTGATCCATAACATAAAGCTTCAATGTCTCCATCAGCTTGAAAAATTTGTTCAAATTGACCTTGTGGTATTGAAGATGATCTATAAATTTTATCATTTTGTAGGATAAAATACATGCTGTTAATGTAATACCACTTACTTGTATAATCAATTTTCAAATCTGATGACATCATACTAAACATATAATAATTTATCCCATCCTCACTAATGAAAATTTGATTGACTTCATAAATTATACCCATTTATTATTAACACATCTAATAGGATTATTTGGATATTTAAATTTAGCATCTTGATTTAAATTACATTTGAACCATTGGATACAATCGAATGAATAACAAGGGCAAAAATCATCTCCAACTGTTATCATTCCCATAAATTTACCGTTATTATATTCAACATATAAAATTCTGGATTAATGATTGGCTTTCGTGTATCAGGATTCCAAACAGATGGAGTAAATGATTCATAGTTTTTAAAATCATTTGTTTTAAAATAAAAAGCACTCCATCTGTATAAAATAAATACATGGTCACTCCATCGAAACATATCCATTCAAAAGAATCTATATCAAAGGTTTTATCTGATGATTTCATAAAATTTAAAAATGGTGGAGTAAAATAGACCTCTGATTGTTTTATTTCTTCATTAACAAATGATATATCAGCTTTCTTTGCTAACTCAGTATTAATGAATGAAATAACTTTTTCCTTATCTGCTTTCTTCTCTAACTCATCGTTAACATAAGTTTTATCTGCTTTAAGGTCTAAACATCCAGAAACCCATTCTGTATCAGCTTTAACTTTAAAAGTCTCAAATGTCCATTCATGATACCTTTCAACCTTTTCTTTAATTTCATTATCTTTTTCATCAACATAAACCAAATTTGCCTTCTTCATTAACTCACTATCCACATATTCCTTATCTGCTTTCTTCATTATGTCATTTAGGAAACCTTTTATGAATTCCTCATTTAAATTAAATCTTCCAATCTTCAAAACTTTGGGAAATGCATTTAATGCGTAATATCTTTGTTCTTCTGGTGGAATTGATGTTATATCATCCGTTATACCTTTAATTTTTGAATTCATAAATAAAATTTCTTTTATATTTGATATCACTGCACCACCTTTGCAAACGAATTCAAAATGGTCATTTTTCAATACTATCTCCAAATCTCCATATTTCAACCTTTGCGTTTGTTCTGCCGTCTTTGAATTATATGCATATGTGGCGTATGTAATGGTCTGTGCCTTAAGTTGCTGTGGTTGCTGTTGTTTAATCATTTATTATGATTTAAAAATAAATATTTAATCCGTTATCTCATCAGCTATTTTTTCTATTTGAAATTGCCATAATATTTCATTCATGAATTCTAAATCACAATCAAATAGGTCAGTTATTCTAAATTTAATATTTGATAAATCTTTTGAATGAAGAATAAATGAATTCCCGGATAATTGAAACGGATATGATAAAGAAAATATGTTTAAGTTGATGGATAAAATGTTTTGTATTGATGGGTAAGAGTTAGGGTCTAATGTTTGATGTGAAAATCTCATTGGGGTATTAACTTTATCACATTTGATTAAAATGAAATTGGAACCAGTGTCAGAATACAAAACATCCCCAACATCTTTTTCAAAATTTAATATCCCCAACAATGAACGAAGATGAGGAGTACAAAATTTAATTTTCAGCGGAAATTTAATAAGGTTATTTATTTCATCAAGTTCAAAAAGTTTATCAGGTTTTGATTTAAAATTTTCTTCATACCATACGATAAATGATTCATTTAAATAACTTAAAATTGTGTTAATATCCCATTTCGTTATCACATTATTTATATACATATCATACGTTTTTTCATGGTCATCTTTAATAAATGATATATAATCTGAAGGGTCTAAAAGAATGGGATTAAATTTACCACTCACAGAAACGAGAGTAACATTATAAATTCCACTAACCGTTAAATTTAATTCACAACTATTATTCGAAATAATATTGATAATTGACATTTTTTTATTACGATTAAAAATATGGTAAAGCGTTATTTTCCAGTGATAAATAAAACTAGAATAAGATTACCTCAAGAATTCATAAATTCAACGAATAAGAAATTCATTCATGTTATAAATTTCAGTGTTTTCAGAAAATATGAGTCAATGTCATATTCATCATCAGGTTATATTTCACTTCATTCAAATTTAGTTCAATCAAACCCATATAATGACCATTTCATAAGATTTTCAGATGGTATTAAAAATGTAATTGATAGATTAAAATATGAACAGATTGACAATATCGAATTTTTGGAATTTTGGTTTAAATATCCTGATGGAAAAAAGATTGAAGTTAAAGATAAAGCTGATACTATAACAAAAACAATTACAATGACCGATCCGGATAGTGGGAAACAAAAAGAAATAAAACAAACGATAGAAACTGGTGAAAGGTCAATTATTATTGATTATGATTCAAAGGATTATTATTCAATAATGTTAATGCTTGAATATTAAATGGCCTTAACAAAGAATTTTTCAAGTGATATTTTATATTCATCAACTATTTTATTATAAATATCATTATATGTTAAATGTAGTTCAGTTGTTGTTCCATTCTTTGATATCTTAATTGTGCTAATATCCTTTATAGGATTTATTTTTGCAACTGTTCCGCAGCATGAAACCTCATCATCTATGAAAAATTGAATCTTAACGTCTGAATCTTGAACATCACAAAGAATGGCGATAATGTGAATTAATGATTCATAAGGTAAAATAATTAAACCAGATTGGTCAATTAAATTTATTATTGAATCATAATTATCAGTTATTATATCACGGTAAATTTTCATTAATTCAGAATTAATGTCTATTTTATATGGCGCATTGCGACTGGAATCGTATATTCCTGGGTTCTCGATGTTTGATGAAAGAGGTGGGGGGTATGTTGGATATGTGGGGATTTCAACGGGTTCTTTACCAGGTTCAGATAAAATGATTGGGTCTCCATTCTCATGGTTTTCTTCATTCTCCTCATTCTTCGGTAAGTCACGAGTTAATAAATTTGGTTGAGTTGCTGACCTTGTTAATTCAGGGCTAACATTAACTTTAACATTTTGAATAATTCGTGATTTATCATCATTTACGTTATAACCAACCGTAATCTCTGCTTTTGCGTTAGTGTTCTTTTGACTTGTGAAACGTCTTCTCATTTATAATGAATAAAAAAAGAAAAATATATTTAAAGTTTTATTTAGTTGTTACGGTAATATCCCAAGGTTCATCATTGTTTGCTTATACTTTCTTTGTAACTGCACCAATAATGTTATTGATATTGCTTTGAGTTTCTTCCAGTCTTATTTTATCATTTACAATATCTTTAATCATTTCATTACATGCATTCTTAAAACCATCTGATTTTTCTAATTTACGTCTATCACTTTCTTTAATTAAATCAAAGTTATAACCTTGTTGAGAATAAAGTGGTTTCTTTATCAATTCCTTGAACGCTTCTGAAAGTGAAGATGAAGAAATTCTTGCCACTTGAATTGGTTTAAATTCTGCTTTCATTGCTTCTTTCTGTTCATTGAACACTGGATCGAATAAAGCAACTTTAAAGAATTTCTTAGCTGGAATTTCAGGTCTCAAATTTGCATATTGACCATCAAACTGATTAACATATCGTGGTAATCCATCCGGTCCTCTTCAATAGCGTTTAATTCTTCATTGAAATAAGAATATGGATTATGACGGTATGAATTAATTGGACCATGTTCACCTTCTCCAATGTATTGTTTAACAGCTTTTCCATTTTCATCAAATTGCATAGGATAACGTTCATTATATGCTTTACGTTTAGGATAATCAGATACAGTTAATTTATAACCATTTATGACTTTAATATTACCTTGACCATCAGTAACGAAAACTTCATTTATACCATCAGGTTTTCCATTT